TTATAAAATATTTTAAATAAATACAAGCCATATCTACGTATTTATTTAATTTCTTGAAAATTTCAGTTAATATTATGAAACTGTTTTCGCTCGAGTGTTCTAAACAACCTACCTTATAATAAACACATCGCAGCTTGCATTTTCCCCCACGTGGTCGTGGTTAAAAACCGGGATGGGTTCCGCTGGACCAATCATCAGCCTCCGAACGATCCCTATCCTTTCTTTCGCTCTCTGATATCCTCTCCGCGTTTCTCCTCGTGGTGTGCGGAGCCGCCGTTAGATGGCGCTCGCATCCTTTTATCCCCTCGTCTCTGTATCTCTTTTGAAGGCTGAAGCCTTCTATTGAAAATCCTCCGAAGTTTTGAATCGCCGTTTGTATGTACCATTGTGAGATGTCTGACTGGAACGATCCTAAAGTAGGCCTAACTGTCTGCTACAAAAGCTGTATGGCGTATGCCTAATAAACACACAGTGAATAGGGGTCCTTTTCAGTTAGTCTTTACATCTCTGAGCTGTGCAATAAAAGGATATCTGTTGCTTTATATAATACCTCCGCACTCCTCGTCACCACACTCCGGCAACAACTTGGAAAATTGCAGCCTGCTTTTATTGTATTTAAAATGAGATAGTGAGGGAATTTGTTTGCAAATAGCTACATTATCAAAAGATTTCCGAACCTTTAACAGTGCACTTGACTTCGCGCGACTCGGTGTTAGACCATTTAAATAGGAAAAAGTACCCGAGCCGAAAAAAAATAAAAATAAAAAAGAGCTATTTGCTATGTTGAAAGAAAATACTTAAGGATTCCTTCGTAGCTCATTGAGGAATTTTTTTCTTTTTTATTGTCGTAGTATTTGCTCTAGGATAAGAGAAACAACAATTTTTTTTTTTCTTCATGCTATTGTTGTCGTTACGTGAATATGTAGAGATAGACAGAACGATGAATTTACACGTAAAAGTGAAAGGAACTTGAACCATTTTACTTCTGATGTCACTTTTTGAAACCTGTTGCTACTCTTCTGTCAAAGCGAGTCGCTTCACGTATTTTGAATAACAACTGTTTAAAATAATAAGCAATTCGTATGTAATAATGTTATTTTAAAAGCTGTCTGTACAGTGTTGGAGGGGAATATTAGTAACTTAGTTAGATACTAATGTTTCCTCACTAATTTTAGTTCCCTTTTTTTTGTTTTTTTTGTTTTTTTTTGTTTGTTTCCTAATATAGGTAGTTTAAACTTTCGTTATTAGTAATATAATTGGCAGAAAACTTTGCTGTTTCCTATGCCACTTCTTTGCTGTTCACCTATGCCAATTATCTTCGAAATGAAAAGTTTTTTTTTTTTTTTTTTTTTTTTTTTTTTTTTTAAATTTCGCTTAATTTAAAAGTACAGTAATGCGATTAGTAAGCACGTTTCGTTTCGAAATGAAACCGCTTTACAACAGTGCCACGTTATAAAGATGTCGTTACATTTATGGAAGTCTCCCATTCCCTGCTTAAAAGTATCCTCACTCTTAATGAAAATCAGTTTCTAAAGGTGCCCGCAGTACCCATATGAAAGTTCTCACCTTTTCTGAAACGGCGGCGATACCTTAATAAAGGCGTCTCATAGAAATATAAGCTTCACATCTTGTATTCTGCTTACAAATTTGCAATGTTACATTCCAGTTAATAAATAAGTTTGGTTTATTTGATTATGGCAAAGCACTCGAGGCCTATCATCTGCCTAAGTGAGAGATGCCTTCGCGGAGGACTTTCTAAGGGAAACTGGCTCGTATTAACACGTTACACATGAGGAAAACCACAAAAGCGCCCATGCAGCCACCCCGTTCGCGGGATTCGAATCTCGGACCGAACTACCAGTGTTCAACGAGTTTACCGCTTGGTCGATGATGCGCAATTAATAAGGAAGATTAATTACAAAGATCTCCAAAGACCGAATTGTAAGCCTCGAAACAATGGCATTTTGTCCGGGGTTTGGTCTCTTGAATGCCGGTTAAACGCATTTTCTCGACTTTTTTACTTACATAAGATTAATAAAAGCTAATTTTCTTGGAAAATTCATCATTAGGATTTACTTTTTTAGACAGATAGCTATCGAATGCTTTTTTGAAATTGTGTGTGTGTGTGTGGTTATGGCAAAGCCTCGAGGGTTATCTGCCTAAGGGGAGGGATACCTTCGTGGAGGACTTTCTCTAAGGAAAACTGACTCGTATACACGTTACACATGGGGAAAACCACGAAAACGTCCATGCAGGCAGCCCGTTCGCGGGATTCGAACCTCGGACCGAACTACCAGTGTTCAGCGACTTTACCGCTCGGCCGCTGCTTTTCTGAAATTAACTAACCTAACCTTTTCTGAAATTAACTAACTAAATTAGTTACAAGAAAAGCATTTTTTAAAAATCATAAACAATTTTCCTCCCTTGCATATTATTAGCCCATATAAAAGTGATGGCCCGCGTGGTCGTTTTCGTGGTTTTCCTATGTCTAACGTGTATATGAGCCAGTTATCTTTAGAAAGTCATCCACGAAGGCATCCATTCCCTTAGGCAGGTAACACTAGTGCGCTTTACCATAATCAAATAAAGCAAACAAAGCAAAACAGGAAGGTAACACTCGCAATATAGCTTTCTTGTGTATTGCGTCTCGAAAAAGTGTAGAAAAGATGAATATTCAATGCATCTAGTTACGGTTACGAAAAAATGCCATTACGAAATAGAATTCGCGTATACTTCAGTGGCTTCAGTGGCTTGACAGCCCTGGTCTTCTCCAGGCATCTCTACTTTTGGCCATAAGTTTTCCAGTTTTTAACCTTTAACCTCTTGTATGTTTTTGCTGGCATTAAGAAAATGGTAAACCGAGTTCTTGATGATTTTTACAGGGCATTACTTAGTGAAATGTAAGTGTTTTGTTTCCATAAAACACATTATTAGGATTTTAAACATCTATTCAAAATTTTAGTAAAATATGCAGAGGGTACATGCATTTTAAGAGAAAAAGAACTGCTCTCCCATCTTCAGAAGCAAATAAATCTGATTAATCGCTTATCTTTTCGCCTTGAATTCTGGTGTGACGTATTATTTATTCATTTTACATGCATAAACGAATTAATTTTTTATATAAAAGATTAGCTGTGCTTACGTATTATCGCAAACACCTTAGCGTAGTTTGGTGAATTTTACGGAACAAAAAGAACACTTAATATATATATATATATATATATTACGCGCATGCATGCTATTAAAAATCATATTCTCATTCCAACTATATATTTATTCCAAAAGGCAATCAGTAAACCTAGTAACAAACCTTTTTTTTTTTTTTTTTTTTTTTTTTTTTTTTTTTTTTTTTTTTGTTGTTGTGTTGTGGTGTCGGTGGAAATTTAATAGAGATCGTTTTCAAAGAATTCGAAGCATATATTAGATCATTGAGCAATTTTACAGCAAAGTAATGTATTCTTCAGAAATTTCACTTCTCTTTCTTCTATTATATAGGGAGCGCAAAAGGGGCCGAGCGGTAAAGTCGCTGAACACTGGTAGTTCGGTATGAGTTTCAAATCCCGCGAATGAGATGGAAAATTGGCGTTTTCGTGGTCCCCCCCCTTGTGTAACGTGTTAATACAAGCCATCTTCCCTTAGGGAGACCTCCACGAAAGCATCCCTCCCTTCCGTCGACTGGATGATGTAGCTAAGCACTGGTAGTTCAACTCAAGTTTTATTCCGTCGAAAGGGAATGAATAAGTACGTTCGTGATTTCTCTATTTGTAACATAAATATGAATTTGCTTTTTTCAGAGAGTTCTCCAAGAAGACATTATTAGATAATACTTTTGTTTTGCCATATTTTAATAAAATTAAAAACAAAGAAAAAAGTAAATTCGAACACTCGTATTTTAATTTTCAACAATAACTTATTCGAACATAAATTTCCTGTTAAACCATTTTTCTCTACTTATCTGCTGTTATTGAAAATGAAAATTATCCGAAAAATTCAATTAACTAACTATTTAAAATTATCTTAATAAGTAAAGATTAAATATTTAGTATTATTTTAATCCCGTTTTGACGCTACCAATATTATTATTGATCTCGGAGATGTTCAACAGAATTTTCAAACTTAACAGAGAAAGAAAAGTACTTTTGATGTTGCTCATTAATAATCAATTATGAGATAGTATTTTGATATGGAACATAGTGTAATTTATAAATTACACTGTATATTACAGTACAGTGTAAGTTATAAATACACTGTATTGTAATATACAGTGTTTAAACGGTATTACAGTACAGTGTAAGTTATAAATACACTGTATTGTAATATACAGTGTTTAAACGGTAATATGTTTTGTCTTAGATATTAACGATTTGTTATATTTTAGCGAAATTTATAAAATCTGAATAACTAATAAAACTTTTTAATGATGAATCTACATTTTATCCCTTAAAACACACATCAATAGTTTTCAACTTAATTCTTTGTTAGTTCAGAAAAACTCGATCTAAAATAACATGAAGAAGACCGTGACACTGTTTAAAATCAGCCTAGATTACAGTTTTATTTTCGGCTCTTTTTATTTTAAATGAAGAGTTCTGTTAAGCATAAATAAAAGCGTAAACAACAGGCTATCGACTTCGATAAAGCTGTTTCACACACTGTTAAAAACCGCTTTATAATAAGAGTTGGAAATGTTTACAGTCACAAGTGTATTTACTTTTGTTTATAGCTATAATTTTAAGTATACTGAAGTATTCATGCTGATTAGAAAAGCAAATCTGAAGAAAACTGGGCAAAAACAAGAAATGCTGGCAGCTTTCTCCCGCGCGCTTGTTTCGGCGAGGAAGCAAGCAGCAGTTAGAGGAGAGTCACGCCTTCTCCCCTCCTCACGTCATGTGACGTCACAGCCAGCCGGGGCACCAGTCCGGCGAATGAGCTAGCGAGGCAAAGCGGGCGATGATTGGTCCGCGCGGTCTCGACCATTGTCAATCAATAACGCGAGGAAGTACGAAGCAAGTTCTCTCATAGAAAGCAGCGTGTGAGTTTGCGCGGTGGACGTACTCGACTCGCAGAGGTTCTGAATCGGCCGCTGTTCTCTAGCTCGTGCTCGATTGTGAAAATTCCCCCCCCTGCCTCTGCAAAAGCAGTTGATTCCGAGAGGTAATTGTTCCGCTGTTTATTTGTTTATCATCTCGATTCGTGAGCACCTGCTTTAGGCTTATCGAAAATTGAAGTTAGCGGTGAGCAATAACGGAGCAACAGGTCCCGGAGGTTGAAAGGTACTCGGCGGTTTCTTCTTTCTCGCTTAGCCGTAAACACGGAGGCTGTCACCATTCGGCCTAGCAGCGCTTGTCCTTGCCAGCTGTGCTGCAGCTCGCACCCGCTGGACCAACAACCAACCGCCGCCAGTCCAGTACCCCTGGCAGTGATGGACCGTGATTACACCACCGCCTATCATTTTGGCGTGACCCATACTGGGGGTCTCGACCCTTCCGAACTGAAAGTAGGGGGCGGAGGCATGGGGCCCCCTCACCATCCTCATGGCGGTCATCATCCTGGAAGCCATCATCTGGCAGCTAGCCACCATTCTCCCAGCTCTAATACCTCTTCGAATAACCAGGGTCATCAAGGAGGCATGGGTCCAAACAGTAATGGAAACTCTGGTGGAAACAATAGTGGAGGCAACAGCAACAAGAAAGACATAGAAAGAGTAAAAAGGCCTATGAACGCCTTTATGGTATGGTCAAGGGGTCAGCGGCGTAAAATGGCCCAAGAAAACCCCAAAATGCATAATTCTGAAATCAGCAAACGTCTGGGTGCCGAATGGAAATTACTTTCCGAAGCTGAAAAACGACCTTTCATCGATGAGGCAAAGAGACTTCGAGCTGTGCATATGAAAGAACATCCCGATTACAAATATCGGCCTAGAAGAAAAACTAAAACTTTGATGAAAAAAGACAAGTATCCATTGACTGGCGGTTTGCTACCTGGTGATACCCGATCTCCTGCAGCTAGTGTGCCCCAAGTGAGCCGTGATATGTACCAGATGAATGGGTACATGCCCAACGGATACCCGACCATGATGCATGAAGCTGCTCATGCTTACCAGCAACATGCGGCAGGCTATGGGTCTCAGATGTCCACCAGCGGACTTTATTCTCGTTATGATCATATGACTCAAATGCACAATCCTATGACCACGGCCGCTTCGTCGATGCCTGTCCCTTACATGAATGGCAGTTCTAGCTACTCTGTTCCCATGACATCGTACTCGTCCATGCAATCGGGGCAACCTATGGGAGGCATCAAGGCCGAACCCAGCTCCAGCGGACAAAACAGTCCGAGTGCGATGACCACAGCGGCAATCGCAGCAGCATCTCGGCGGGGTTGCAATAGTGATCTACGGGACATGATCAGCATGTACCTACCGGGTGATTCCGGCGATCCGAATGCAGTACAGAACAGGTTACAGATGCAAACGCATTACCCAGGTACGGAATCCATAAGTTCTGGGACAATGCCATTAACACACATGTGACTGTAGGACTTCAAGCGCACGACGATCCTCAATAATAAAATGTGACTGTACTCTCATACTTTGAGAAACTTGAACCGCGCCAAGGACACGCCACAGTAAAACATTTTGCGAACGTTTGTGGATGACGATTCAACAAGGCACGTAAGTAGCCTTACAGAAAGTTTTCTTCTATTTAAAAAACAAAATGAAAAAAATAAATCCAAATAGAGAAACAAATTACCCTTTCCAGAGGGAAATTAGATGTAGATAGTGCATAGTATCTTATTGATTTTTATCAGTAAAAACTCCTAAAATAATTTTTACTATGAACAAAGTAACGATTCTACTCATCATCGTTCTGAAAGGGTTGTTTTGTTTTGAAAGTGTATAATGAAAACCAAAAGTAATTGCTTATTGTTAAACAGTTTATTAGTTTTAAAATGATTGAATTTTTATTAATGTAAAATTTTGAGCGATTGAAGTTCTATGTAGATTATTTGCTTGCTTGGTATCATGAATTGTGAAACTTAACAAAATTCACGAACTTATTTTGTTACGGAAAGTTTTTTTGTTCAGAGAAATAGATTTGTATCTATTAATTCATACAGCAGGACAGAACTATGCATCACAGATATTTATATGTGTTATCACAGACTTGCTGAAACAAAAACTCTTCAATGCTAAGTCCCTCTTGTTGTATTATATAGTATTTGTGGGGGATGACAGCATTTTCAATACCATTAAGTGTATAAAGTGTTGTGTGAGAGAACCTGAATGCATTTTTTTCCTGCACTTAGATGTGATTTATCCCATTATTTTCCTGCCGAAAAATTATTTTACTGCAAAATAAGACTAATGATGGCTCAGCTGCAATAAATTTCAAGTTCTGTATTAATTGATTTAGATGCAACAAAATCACAAAATCAAAATTTAAATGTGTAGTTAAATGATTAGCATATAAAAGTTTGCTTAAATATATGATTTTTGTTGTGAACGTTTTGCCGATTTTAATTGTTGAAGATTTTCAGCAATTTGCTCCTGTTGCGGGTGAGTTTCGTATTTTTCACATTTAATTAGTGATTCTTTTAGGAAAATTTTTTTACATATGTAAGTTAAAAGTCAGAATTATTTTGTTCACTTGAGTATAAAAAACCTTAAGCAGAATCATTTTTTACATGTCACTTTTTTAAAAAAATTTTGTAATACCTAGCAAAATTTATTCAAGTAATAAAATTACAATTTTATAATAGTTAAAATTCGTTCATTGCTGAACCATAGTATTATATTAAGAATAAGGTAAAAGAATTTGTAATATAAAAACTGTACCTAAAATTATTGATACTTTTCCTTTATATAAAGCTGATTATTCTTTTTGCATGGTTCCTGATACGATTCTATATGCTTTTGGATAATTTTTATTTCATTCCTAGGATATATTTAAAATGTTATTACTATGAATTTTAATTTCATTCAGAGATTCAGCAGTTTAATGCTGGGATATGCTATATTATTTTTTAAAGTGAAAAATCATTTACATTAACAAAATTAATTTGATCATCATTTATTATTTTATTGTAATTTGCTGCTTCAGATACATGAAATGATGCTTTCTCATAATTTTTCAACACATTTCTTGTAATGATTACAGCAGCTTGATTTAGATATTTCATTCTAACATAGCGCTTAATGATTTAATATTTAGTATTACCTATTTCTCCTTTCGACCTTGTATAAGTAAGACAACAGTAAATGAAAAACCTAGAAAATGTTTTGAAATTAATTTCTAAACTTTTAATGCTAATTCTGTTGTGCATTGTATATACAAAATACAACGATTTATGTTTTATCAGTAGTGCAGTAAAATTCTAACAAGTTTCAAGTGTGTATGTCTAGAAAATGTTAAGTACAGTAGAATTTTCCCACTACCGCAGTGTTTCTTGAGTATTGAAATAGCCCAAGACTGTCATTCTGAAGGTCAAAGAACCAGAAAATTACACTGTTCTTTGTGTACCTTAGGGGTTTGAAGCGATTGTCCAGTAAACGGATACAAACAATCGAATCTTTCAAAAAAAGAAGTGTCCATTAGAAGTACTTCCTTCAACAGCCCCCTATAGATCCTATTTTCCTCCCTCCCTCGGGTGTCAAGACTTTCTTCCTCGTCTTTTGTTGAATATTTTCTGGTTTAACCCAGCTGCTACTGTTGAAATATTTTTGCATTCAGTTTGCGAAAATATTATGCACTTCAATTTGGCGTATGCAATATTTTTTCGAAACGTTTTCAAACAGAAAAATACATTTTCTGGTTAGAATTAGATAAAATTAAGCCTTAGATTTATCTAACTACTTTTATAGAAAAACTCTGCACGTGCTAAATTGCTGTTCTTTGAAATCATATATGTACTTGATCTTCAAAGTTTCTTACATTTTTTTGAGAAAAATATTTAAAAATGGATGTAAAAACATAATAGTAAGAATAGTTGACTTACTTTATCGATATTTTTGGAAATATCAATGTATAATACATAATTCGTATTTTCTAGCTTCTAAGTCATTTAAGCAATTGCTCTTCGAAGATTCTTGCATTTTTTTTTTAGAAAACTACGTGATATTTGCTAAATATATGAGACTTTACTTCTTTAAAATTTAATTTTTATTGCTTTAAACTCCGAGGTGTGTTCTCGATTACTGGAAATTTTTAAATATTATTATTTTTTTATGTGAAATCCAACTGCGTGTGAAAAGAGGATATACAAAACATTTATCATTTAAAATTTTGTGAGAAATCATTTTTATGCATAAGTTATACTTCCCGTTAAGTCATGTAATGTTAATCTTTTTAACGTATTTACGTATATTTCCATCTCAAGCCGATTTAGGTGCTTGTGAAAGGAAATATAAGGCAAAATTTTTATGATTTTTATGCTTAAAAATGTAATGATACGTCATTTTTATTAAATAATGTAATATGACACAATTGCAGCAAGCCAAAATAGTCTCATTTTGTGGAAAGAGCCCGAATGACAATACTGTTGTTCTTCATTTGTACATAGCGCACTGTTTCAGTGAAAATGGCACGATGTGGTGTCGAATTTCGTAGTCAATGCATAAAAAAGAAAAAAAAATCTTTGAAAATAAACAGGCAGAGTTATCCTACAAATTCTAGTTCATGTTTTTATTTCACCTATGTTACTTGAAATACACACTAACCTAATATCTAGGATGTGCTTAAGGTACTATGTTATAAGGAAACCTCATAATTAGGAAAAAAAAAAACTGTTTTAATGTTTAGTAGAATATTATTGTAGAGCACTGATCCAAAAAAACATATGCCTACGCTAAGGAATATATTTCTTATATTCATTTTTTATTATTAAAATTGTTGTAAATTGATTTCTTAATTGTATTTAAATGATTGAGAGAGCTTGGGTTATGAAACTCATATGATGGAATGTTTTATTATTTCAAATTAATGGCTGAAAGGAGTTGTAAATTAGATGCTATAGACAAGTATCATAACAAAATGATGGCTCAATCGGTTTTCGCTTTTCAGGAACTTTTGTAAAAATGTACATTTTGTACATAAATTGACGAAAGTCTTTCAGTCAGTCGTACCAAATACAGTCATGTCATAATTTATTGTCTGTTTGTTTTGTAAATAAATCTGTATAATTATCTAACTGCTGTTGTTTAAGTTCATATTCTCTACAGATGCACCTTTCTATATATACTTTAATTCTCGTATAGAAATGAAGTCTTTAGTTGCTTTCCTTCTGAAACATATTAAAGCATATTTTTAGTTTTGAAAAGTTAGTAGGTCAAGATTTATTGAATTTAATATCATAACAATATCTGTAAAATGCAAAAAATTAAGTTTTTTCATAAATTATTTTTACGAAGTTGCTATATTTAGGAATTTTTTTCATGGGGTAGAATTGTTCAAGATACGAGTTACGGTAGACTAGCCCAAATGACTTTTGAATAATAAAATTCGCGAGCTGTATTTTAACTATGTCATGAATTTAATTTTATTCTTGCACATTTTATACATCTAAGCAATTGTTTTAAAATTTTAAGATTTTTTCCATTATAAGACAAGACTCACCAAAGAGTTTTCTCTAGATACATATACATATATACTAACTTGGTACTTCTAAGTTTCATTAACTTTTTTATATTATCACATTTTATACATCTAAGCAATGCACCTTCTTAATTCTTCTATATTCCATGACAGTTTTTGAATGATATTCTTATGTGGTTCAAATTAAATAATTGTTATTTAACTTTTTGTTACATAAATACATTATTTAAACTTTATTTTAAAATGGTTTTATAAACAGTAGTGGATTTATTACATTAAGTAAACTAAGTTTTACTACCAAAGAATTTGCAAGCTAGTTTTAAATCGATCTGTTACAAATAATTTCAACAAATGAGGAATTTAATTTTTAAAATTAATTTTTTAATTAACTTCGCTACCGGTTCTAAACTACTTCTAAATCCATGTTTTATTAACTTTTCTATATTCATTGAATGATTTTAAAATTTTGCGATCTTTGCATAATAAAATAAGACGTGTCGTGCCAAGCAATTTATAGACAGACAGGAATTTGAATGCTATCGTTTCTGTTCTATTTCTAAATCCAAGTTACGCTAACGTTTCTATATTCATTGTATAGTTATAAAATTTTAGCGTTATGAAACAAGAGTTGCTAAAAAGTTTATTTCACCAAAGAATTTTCAAGAAAACTAAATTGATCTTTACAAATAATTTCAACCACTTATACATCTAAAGTGAAGAATTTAATTCCGAAAATTAATTTTTTAGTTAACTTTAGTTTTTTTTTTTTTTTTTTTTTTTTTTTTTTTGTCAAAATTAACGAAAACTTATGCTAACTTAGTGTGTCAACAGTAAAGAATTTGAATGACTTCTCTAACCTTTCTAGACCACTTCTAAGTTTTATAAACTTTTCTGTGTTCATTGTATGATTATAAAATTTTGCGATCTTTTGCATAATAAAATAAGACGTACTGTGTCAAACAATTTAAATTTTTTCCAAAGTTTGTTCTGCCAAAAAATTTATAATTACTGCCAATGAATTAACGAAAAATCATGCCAACTTAGTATGTCTATAGAGAGGAATTTGAATGACTTCGTTAACGTTTCTAGACTACTTCTAAATCTAAGTTTTATTAACTTTTTTATATTCATTCTATGATTATAAAATTTTGGGATCTTTTGCATAATAAAATAAGACGTGCCAGTTTTAAGTTTTTCCAGAGTTTGTTCCGTCAAAGAATTTACAAGATGACTCTTAAGTCGATCTTTTACAAATAATTTCAACTACTTATTTTACGTATTTAAAATGAATAACTTAATTCTGAAACTTAATTTTTTAATTAACTTTAGTTCTCTGGCAAAATTAACGAAAAATCATGCCAACTTAGTATGTCTATAGAGAGGAATTTGAATGACTTAGTTAACGTTTCTAGACTACTTCTAAATCTAAGTTTTATTAACTTTTTTATATTCATTCTATGACTATAAAATTTTGTGATCTTTGCATAATAAAATAAGACGTGTCGTGCCAAACAATTAATTTTAACATATAATTTACAAGATAATTCTAAATGGATCTTTTAAAAATAATTTCTGCTAATTATTTTACGCATTTAAAATGAATTTAGTTCTGAAAATTAATTTTTTTTAAATTTAACTTTAGTTCTCTGGCAAAATTAACAGAAACTTCACGTCAATTGAGTGTAGTTACGGAGAGTATTTTGAACGACTTCCCTACCGTTTCTAGTCTCTTTCTGAATCTAAGTTTTATTAACTTTGTATTCATTTATAATTATGAAATTTTAGGATCTTTTCAATTATAAAAAAAGATGTGCCAAGCAGTTTTCTTTAGAAAGATAAACAGCCCAATTCGTTGCATCCACCGAGAAAATATATTTCCGTCATCAGATCGTTTCGACTGGTAAAAGTTTTCTAAACATTAAGGAATATATATGTCAGATTTGTCATTTGAATATGCAAAGAACGAAATAGAACTGCAGACTTTAAAAACCAGAATACTACTGCAAGAGAAAAGAACAACACATTTAACTAAAACCCCGTTTAGTTAAATGTGTTGGTTCTATCGTTAGTGTGTGTTGTAGTTCTGCGTTAAATGTGTTTGATCCCAGGCGCATATGCATTTTTCTGTAGAAAACTGCTTGATACTTTTTGTTTTGCAACGCAAAAAGATCTGATTTGCTTAAAATAATACATTGTGAGAAAATCGAACCGAACAAACAGCAAGCTAATCTTGGACGATGTGCGATATCCTTAACTGCATATAGTATCACATTTTCTTTCTTTTTAATTTTGCGTCGAATAGAGAATCAGGTTTTAATATGATATAAAATATATGTGTAGTAGTTTAGCTTAGTATAGGAATATAAAATGATTAAATGTTTTCAAACGATCTAAAATCCAGTAAACGATTAAGATATGTCGGTGAACACTGGTAGTTCGGTCCGAGGTTCGAATCCCGCGAACGGGCTGGCTGCATGGGTGTTTTCGTGGTTTTCCTCATCTGTAACATGTATACGAGCCAGTTTCCCTTAAAATGTCCTCCACGAAGGCATCCCTCCCTTAAGGCAGATAGCCCTCGAGTGCTTTGCCGTAATCTAATAAACCTAAAACCTAAACCTTTGTAAGCAGGATAATTGCAGAAAATCTTAATTTTGTCATTACTCTGCAAGTGAAAAATCATCACTCATTATTTTGAAGCGATTATCATCATTGCATTTAGTTTCTTCGCTAACTAGTTAAAAATTTTGCTAACCATTGAAGCTCGAGATGGCGTGAAAATTTTCCAGCTACTTTTAGAATTTAACCCATGAATAATCGGAATAGGGTTATGTAACATCTGCACAATGAAAAACTAAAACTAGGTGAAATGAGAAACGATCACAAAAATAATGTATATGTCTATCATAAAAGTATTTTTACAAGGTTCTTACGTATTATTGCAACTACCTTGGTGCAGTTCGGGATTTTTTTACCGAAGAAAAAGGTGATCTGGGAAATTTTCGGATTGTAACTTACAATGGATATGGTTACCTAAAGAACTGAGAAGCGCATGGGTTGCTGAAGTTTGGAAGAGAACGTTTAGGTTTACGCTGAAGACCTCTACGTACTAAGGTGATTGCGATAATACTTAAGTACATTTTACAATATTAATTAATGTACTATAAATAACACTATATATCTATATCCGTATAATATCAAAGCTCATGCGTTTAATCATATTAAGTATATTCGTAAATATATTGAATTTGTAATTGCTTTTGAAAAGTTAACCGTTTTAAAAACTGCAATCTTATATTGAAAATTTCTAATGCTATTTTCAAACGTTGTTAATGCATTTACAGTTATGCAATATATTAGCGCGCTTTAAATTATACCTATTTCATTTATAGCTTTTCAGAGTGTTCTTTTTCTTTTTCTTTTTTTTTCTTTTCTTTTTTTCATTAAGGAACTTGTACAAAATATCCGTTAGAAGTTTAATCTATTTTTGGAGTGAATGGTTAGGCTATCTGAATATGACGAAGCCCACGGGGGTTAAAAGCTGTCTATCTAGGGGAGTAGATGCCTTTAGGGAAGGCTTTCCAAGATAAGCTGGCTGGTATCCATATAACACAAGGGAAAATATCTATGTAGACAGCCCTTTTGTCAGGGTTTAGAACCCGGGTCAAACTACGAGTTCTCAGTGGTCTTACCACTCGGCCACTGATTAGGCTGCGTGAATAAAATAAAAATGCAGTGATTACGATGAATCGATAGCAACAATAAGTAACAAACTTTTTTTTTTTTTTTTTTTTTCAAACTTTTTTTTTTTTTTTTCAAACTCTTTTTTTGTCTTTGAAGGAAGGGGAAAACTACGAAACGCCCATGTAGCCAGCCCGTTCGCGTCAAATCAATTAGCGACTTTACCGCTCGGCCGCTGGTGGGTCCTGATTTTCTTTATCCATTCAATCAATTTAAAGAAGAATTCAATTAGAACACAAATGAGAAAATTGATTGTTGCAGAAGTAGTCATTTTTTCTGTTGTCTCGCAAATAAATGTTTAGCTATATCCTCCAATACGATCGATCTATAGCTGGATTTAATTTCCATTTCTTTAGAGAATTTAATATTTTAGCTTAGAATTTTATGTTTATAATCTTTTTAAGTCTTTAGTATTATGAAAAATTTTTCCTTCAAATGAAAATATACGTGAACTAATATACAGCGTTATAAAATGTCTGAGTAATACCAATTCAGTCCGAGTTCTATCATGTTAGCTGTGCGATAATTTTTCGCTCATCTCATTTAAAACCTTTTTGAGAAATCCAGAATCCGAAAGGGAATATTTGGGGGGGGGGATGCATCTCTTGTGTTTCGAAATAATCAGCTTTACAGTTTTTGCTTTGCAATAAAAATTTGCTTCCTCTCCAAATCAATCGAATTAATGCTGTTAAAGTGTCTGTTAATTAATGCTGTTAAATATTAATGCTGTTAAAGTGTCTGCTTTGAAAGATATTTGAGTAATGTTTCTTACTTTTTTCAGGAAAAATTCAAGTTGGTATAATATTCTTATTTACTGATTTTATAAATCATACGCGGAGTGTCCTTTCAACATTTTCG